TCTCCCTTGCGAATTTTGTTTGGGGAAAGCCACATTTCCCACCTAGCATCACAGAGTGTGTTTTTCTTTAATTTTATAATTTGCAGCTCTACAAAGACTCCGTTGATAGGGACAAGGTGTGTGAAACAATAATTATGTTTGTGGAACCTTGTCACATTTTCTTAGAATATTATTTTAGAAAGGGCCGGGCATGGTGGCTCATGCTAGTAATCCCAGCACTTTGGGAGGCTGAGGCAGGTGGATCATGAGGTCAGGAGATCGAGACCATCCTGGCTAACATGGTGAAACCCCATCTCTATTAAAAATACAAAAAATTAGCCAGGCGTGATGGCGGGCACCTGTAATCCCAGCTAATCGGGAGGCTGAGGCAGGAGAATCGCTTGATCCCAGAAGGCGGAGGTTGCAGTGAGCCGAGATCACGCCACTGCACTCCAGCCTGGGTGATAGAGCGAGATTCTGTCTCAAAAAAAAAAACAAAAAACAAATAAACAAACAAAACACCAGAATATTATTTTAGAGAACAGCCCTAAGCCAAGACATTGGGTCTTATGATCCTTTTCAAAGAAAATCGTTGGGCTCGTTAATCCTTTGATTGAAGTTCTTTTTTAAAATGATATTTTCCAGTTTGACTAATTGAAGATTTCCCACTAAGATAAATGGAAGAGACTTATCATTTGATCAAAATTATAGCAGCGCTTGATGTTTGCATACCACCCTACAGTTTTCAAACAAAATCCATTTACATTCACTCATTTAATTATCCCCCTGGTTTTTCTGGATAAGCAGAGTTTCCCATGGGTGGAATGCTTCCATTTGTGGGAGTACTTTATATTTCCTCTCAGATTTATACATTTCTAGTTGGCACAGCTTCTGCCATTCAGATGCAGGAAATAGAGAATGCCACCAGAGAAACAGATGGAAAGACCAGAAACAGATCCAAGTATGTGTAAGTTCATTTGTTCATTCATGCATCCATTCACTTATCTATATATTCATTATTCATTAAATAGATAGTTATTAAATGTACTACGGCAGTGTCTCCCATAGTAGGTAATAGGATAGGATGTTTAAACGTAGAATGCTGGAGTAGGAAAGCTTCCATGTAAACATTTGTTCAGACACTTACTAATTTTAAGTTTTTCACAATTTTTTAATCTAGGCAATTGGGAAATTATATAGTCAATCTGTGTTTTTGTGGTATAGCAGTGCTCTGTTTTCTGTTCTAACTTCAAAAAACAAATGGAAACAGAATTGCCCAGTGATTACAATGGCACCAGCCTAGATCAGCCAGCATTTAGCTGACTCCCAGATGTGTGAGCACCCAGCCAAGATCAGCAACGCCTCCCGACTGGCCCTACTAAGACTTAAAAGTAGTCCTAAAATTAACATAGCAGCTTCTTTCTGATCCAGGTAGAAGTATGTGTTTAAATGTTTCTAGCTCTATGGTAGTGTCTGCCATGGCAGCAGTAGCAATGGGAGCGGCTGTGTTGAGGCAAGAGTGAGGGTTCCAACTTTCCTGCTGATCTGGGAAGTATTGGATGTGGAGGGTTGCAATGTGAGAGAAAAAGCAGCAGGTAGACCTAGGTCTCTTGGTGAAGTCGATGAGTTTGAGGAGTTCCTTGCCAAAGACTGGGCTGGCTTACATGAAGATGCACATGTCTGGGAAGATAACTAGGATAGTGCTTAAGGCCAGAGTTTGGAAGAAATTCCAGAAAACGGGCACATTGTTTACTGGTGGGAGTAAAATGCTACTTATTTCTGAGTAACCTGGCAATGTGTCCTTTTTTTTTTTTTTTTTTTTTTTTTTGAGCACGGTCCTTGGCTCTGTCAACCCAGGCTGAGTGTTAGTGGGCGTGATCTGGTCTCACGTGCAACCTCTGCCTCATGGGTTCACAAGGAACGTCTCCTGCTCAGACCTCCCATGTAGCTGGGTTACGGAGGCAGGCACCCACATGCCGGCTAACTTTTTTGTATTTTTAGTAAAACGGTTGTCAACCATGTTGGCCAGGCTGCCTCAAACTCTGACCTTCAGAGTAATCCCACCACTCGGTCCCAAAGTGCTGGAATTAGCAGGCAGTGAGCAGCTGTGCCTGGACAGCATGCGTATTTAAAAGTTGTATTTCTTTTGAGTTAGAAGCGATTTTATTTTGACCAGCAATCTACTGACAGGAATTTATCATGTGGAATAGTGTGACGGTCTGTCAGAGGATATCATGATATTTATTAAATAAACAAACCTACACAGAATAGCGGGTGCACATAATTCGAAAAATTTTCTTAATGGATATGCAATACATATATACACTTAGAAAAAATATGGAAAGGTTTTATAATGAAGCGTAACATATGTTATATTTGAAATGTGAGATCATAAACAATTTTACTTCCTTTTTCTTTTTTGGAGACGGGAGTCTCGCTCTGTCGCCCAGACTGGAGTACAGTGGTGAGCAACTCGGCCACTGCAACCTCCACTCCTGGGATTCAAGCAATTCCTCCTGCCTCAGCCTCCAAGAGCTGGACTACAGGCACACATCACTGCACCCCGCAGCTAATTTTTGTTTTTAGTAGAGGACGGGTTGCTTTTTACCATGTTGGCCAGAATTGGTCTCCATGTCTTGACCTCATTGAATCCACCTTCCTCGGTCTCCCAAAGTGCTGGGAGTACAGCCTTGAGCCACCATGCCCGGCCACTTCCTTATTCTTTAGGCTTTGTTCATTTTCTTACTCTAATTGTTTTTTGAATGAGCGTGCATGTTCTTGTGGAATTTGTTTTTAAAAGCCACAAAAAGATTATTTTTAAACAGAAAGGTTC